TCCTCACACTCCACAACAGAACGGAGTTGCTGAAAGAAAAATGGAACATTCAATCGAAATTGCTCGAACACTTTTGTTGCACATGAATGTGCCTAAACACTTTTAGAGTGATGCAGTTCTAACTGCATATTATTTAATTAATCGCATGCCATCTAGTATTCTTGGAGGCCAATTACCTCATTCTATTCTTTTTGCTCATGAACCTGTATTTAAATTACCTAATCGTATTTTTGAATGTGTGTGCTTTGTTCATCAGCTTGCTCCCGGCGTGGATAAATTAGATTCTCGTGCTCTTAAGTGTATTTTCTTAGGATACACATGAGCGCAAAAAGGGTATAGATGATACAATCCAGTTTTAAATCAATTTTTTACTTGTGTTGATGTTATTTTCTTTGAATCCACTCCATATTTTATGAAACACGGTATGCCTTGTGAGTTAGACCAGTGTCCCTCTTTTTCCTCTCCTGTTTTACCAGCCCCTTCCTCTTTATTACCTAAGTTATCTAGTCCACCAGATTCTATAGCTCGATTATCTCGTCCTACTTTTCAAGTTTATTCTCGTCGTTCCATGGTTGAGAAAGTTCCTGATATGCCACGCACTTCACCAATTAACTCTCAATCTTCAAATCCAGGTATGACGCCCTCCTTTGAGTTAGATCTTTCTATTGCTTTACGCAAAGGTAAGAGGCATTGTACTTTTTATCCCATTTCTAATTTTATTTCTTATTTTCGTCTCTCAATGTCATATTCTTTATTTTGTTACTTTCCTTGATTCTATCTCTATTTTTAAGTCTATTACCCATACTCTTAATCATCCTGGTTAGAGATTAGCTATGCAAGCAGAGATGTCTACTTTGGAACAAAATGGTACTTGGGATCTTATCCCTTTTCTTTCTAGTAAGCCTATTGTTGGTTGTAAATGGGTGTACACTATAAAAGTGCAGTCTAATGGTTCTATTGATAGATTGAAGGTTTGTCTGGTAGTTAGAGGATTTACTCAAGTGTATGGAAGAGATTACTTAGAAACATTTTCTCTTGTTGCAAAGATTACCTCGGTTCGTCTTCTTATCTCTTTGGCAGCAACTTATAATTGGCCATTGCATCAGTTGGATGTGAAAAATGCATTTCTACATGAAGATTTGGAAGAAGAGGTATATATAGAACAATCTCCTGGCTTTGTTGTTCAGGGGGAGAATTCGCAGTTGGTTTGTCAGTTGAAAAAATCCTTATATGGATTGAAACTGTTTCCGAGGGCTTGGTTCGGCCGGTTTAATAGTGTTGTCATGGAGTTCGGTCTGACAAGATGTGGAGTAGATCACTCTGTATTTTATCGGCATTCTAATGCTGGTAAAATTTTATTAGTTGTTTATGTGGATGATATTGTGATTACAGGTGATGATGTTGTGAGGATCCAAAAAGTTAAATCCAATCTGCAGGCAAATTTTTAGACAAAAGATTTAGGTCATCTACAGTATTTTCTGGGTATTGAGGTAGTTCGGTCTAAATATGGGATTTATTTATGTCAAAGGAAATATGTACTCGATATGCTAAGTGAAGTTGGGATGTTAGGTTGCCGACCTGTGGATACTCCTATGGATCCTAATGTGAAATTAGTAGGAGATCAAGGTGTATTATTAGATGATCTTAAGCAATATCGAAGACTTATGGGTAAATTAAATTATCTCACTGTAACGAGACCTGATATTTAGTTTGCAGTGAGTGTTGTGAGTCAATTTCTTGGTACCCCAGTACTAGTCATTGTAATGATGTTATATGGATTCTCAGGTATCTTAAGAGTGCTCCTGAAAAAGGGTTGTTGTATCAAAATCATAGACACACTGATGTTGAAGGATATAGTGATGCAGGTTGGGTTGGTTCTGCTTCAGATCGAAGATCGACCACAGGATATTGTGTGTTTGTTGGTAGTAATTTAGTGTCGTGGAAGAGTAAGAGGCAAACAGTTGTCTCCAGATCAAGTGTAGAATCTGAATACCGTGCTATGACTCACAATGTGTGTGAGTTGGTTTGATTGAAGAGCATGTTACTTGAAATTGGGTTTGAGCATAAACAGCCTATGAATTTAGTGTGTGATAATCAGACGGCTGTTCATATTGCGTCTAATCTAGTGTTTCATGAAAGGACAAAACATATTGAAGTTGATTGTTATTTCATTCGAGAAAAATTGCTTGACGGAATCATCAAGACATCTCATGTACCGTCTGTAGATCAATTGGCTGATTTGTTTACCAAGAGTTTAAGGGGTTCTAGGGTGAAATACATTTGTAACAAGTTGGGTGCTTATGATATATATGCTCCAATTTGAGGGGGAGTGTTAAGAGAATATAAGTATTCTTGTAGATAATAAATTAGTAAGGGTATTCTTGTAAATATTTTGTTAGGTTTGTACTCCTATAAATACTAGTTGGTCACTCATAATATGGTGACTAGATGTTTTCCTCCCAAAATATCTGTTTTCAGAAACTATAGCTAGGAATGTATGAATTACGCCTACTTTAAATATTAAAAGACTGTTAGCCGTAGAAACTTGCAAAAGTTGGAACTTTAAGCTGAATTTATTGAAAGAAACCTGATGAAAATCTGTTAGCTTCACACGAGAGAAATGGAGCTAAGAAACATTAGCTATCTTTTGCAATTTGGCTTTTAAACTTTTTCATTAAGCTGTGATGTGTTATAAAACATCTTAACTTCGTCAAGCAAGATAGAAATGAGTATAAATTGAAGTGAACACTGAAGGAAAGATGAATGTAAGCTGCTGCAGATAGGTTGGCCGAGAAAATGAGAATGGAATATGTAACTTGTTGTTGATATTCTGGAAACTCTTACTAATAAACACATGAGATATGTGTAATCTCTTATCTTAATAGATAGGTGCCTTGAACTGGTAAAACCTTAGAGAATTCTAGCTAAAACTGGCAAGGAAAGCTGGTGCAATCTGTTAGGATGCCGAGAGCAAGGAAATTATCTTCTGACCAATTTTCCTCCAATTTCCAACACTATAAAGCTTCATAGATGATAGTCAAAGCTGCTCCGTAGATTAATAACTATGTTTGGCACTATGAGTAGAGTTAAACTAAGGCAAATAAGGAGGAAAGCTGTGAATCAAACTGCTGAATTACTTCTTTGCAGAGAGAGAGAGGGAAGAGTTTTGATCAGTCTTTCCTTTGGGTTTAGCTACAAATTTTCTACGTTCTGTACAAGGCTGCTTTGTAGATTAATAAATGTAATTAACTTGTCTAGTTGGGACATGAGAGTGAAAGGAAAGATTTGAGGGAAACATACCGAATATTGGACCGATAAATTGCTAGAAAGGCTAGTTAATGGTTGCGATTGAAGATGAGAAATTTTGTATATGATGTGGTCAATCGACATGCTGAAATTATGAGTTATTCACCTTGAATGAAATGTATACTAGGTGACTAAAGTTTAAGCAATTAAAAAGTGGAGTTGTTGTAGGTTAAGGAACATTTGAGCTAAAATACTGTTTATGCTGACCAGATGAAGGGAGAAATGAAACTTTTATGGAATCTTAAAATTTAAGCTAATTCATTGTGGAACTCCGCTTATGAACATTTAAGAAATTTAAACAAGAAAACTAATACGTTTATGCAAAACTTAATAGACAACTTAGAATTTGATTTGGAAAAAAAAAGAAGAGAAGGATGAAAAGTTGGTTTATTTTAACTTTAAGATATAGAGTGAGAAATGGTTTAATCCTAATTTAAATATTTATAAATCATAACCTTAGAAAATATGTATATTTCTTGGTTAAAATGATAAAGTAAATAAGTTTCGAAATGAAATGTAGAATAAATATTGAATATATTATATTTTGTATTTTAAAGTCAAACTTGATTTTAATAGTTCAAATAATAGGGTAATAAATAATAAATGAATATCTACAAATTTTATATTTACTTTGGACTTATACACTTATCCCAGGGAATAGCTGTGAGCCAGGAAACAAACTCGAGACTCAAGAGTAAATTATTTGGATATTTGGTGAATGTTTTTGAATTTGTGTGTTTAACTGTTTATGTTTATTTAAGTGAAATTATGTGATAAATGTGCTTATTATGGAATATTGCTAGTGATTCATTATAAAGTGTATCTCAATTGTCCCCCGCCTTCAAAGTCGGGGGTGTACTTTATCACACTCGATTTAGTTGAGTTTGAAGGTTGATAATTGACCAAATGTTACTGTAAGTGTGCATGAATGTAAGTCGTATGTGTACTTTACTGCATTGGCTGAACTGGGCCCCAAAACCCTCTGTTCTACGGATTATTCGAGCCAGCAAAGGGTTTGGTCGGATAGGACGGAAGCTTTGGATAACTATTTCGGTATACTCGAGTATTACCCTAAAATTGGGAGATTATTGAACTGATTATCGAATGTAGGGGATTGTTTATTGTTTTGGAGGATATAAGGAGGTGAATTGGCGGAGTATGCAATGATATTGAAATGAACGTATCACAACACTGAAATGAATGTACACTGATATTGAAATAACTCTCAGGAGGAGTTTGTATACTTTTGAAACTGACTATACAGTGAAAAGTGCCTCTAATGCGAGCACTGTATCCTTTTAAAAGTGAATGTTCAGTGAAGTGTTCCTTAGTTGCTTAATTTTGTTATTGGCTTATCTAGTTTAAGTGTTTATTGATTGTCGCTTGCATGGAAACCTCACTAAGCTATAACTCAACCTTATAGTTTGTTTTCCTTACAGGAGTTGGTAGTCGAGAAACGAATAAGGGAGCTTAGGGAGTTAACATGAATTCTTTTGTGATTGTAAATTATCTAGTATCATTTCACGGCTGACGTTTTGTATTAAACTTAGCATTGTAAAAGATTGGAACATGTGGTTTTAGTATACCACAATGTTATCTCTGAAGTTAATGTAAGATTAATGAGAGTTTATCAAATGTTATCTCTGAAGTAATGTGATTGAGTGAGTGCTAGCGAGAGCTAGGCAGGCGATCTGCTAACTTCTAGGGTATGCCCTAGAAGGAGGTGGGACCGTCACAGCAGTGCTGATTGTTTTCTTACCGGGTAATACAGCTTGACTTAGGGTTGAGCACAAGGCAACAAATACACCTTCATTTGGCTTTGAGCTTTTATGTGATCGCTGCAACCGGAATGATTCTACTTCATCATCTTCACCAGAATTATCTGCCGGTTTTCTCGATGGTGGTTTGTAATCTTCATCATCTTCATAGTCAACTAGCCCACCAGACCTTGTAGAAGGATAGGTTGTAGTAGAACCATTAGGCAAATTGTGTTGGGATTGTTCTCTCTTTCTACTTGGCATAGATGCTGATGCTGAATCTTCTTCATCACTATCGTCATTGAAATAATCTTCCTCTTCCTTCTCAAGAGCACGATCGTCAATTCGTTTTCTGGAGTCTAACACATTAGTGTTACTTCTCAATCCAGCGCTTTCAAGTGCCTGTTCATATTTAACCTTCAGCGAACGTATTGATGGCAAATTATCAAATTGGGCTAACTGTTCCCAGAAAGAATCAACTAAGTACTTCAACAATATCTTCAGGTTCTCCTTTCTGATATACTCGAAAAGTTCCAGAACGGCAGAATTGAGCAGATTATAACGACTGCCATTACTAACAAAAGCATCAACAATTGGTTTCAACAGGTTATTCTTCACAATATGAGACAACAGATGTTCATCATTGCGTGAAATAAGAGTTCTAATAAATCTAGCAGCAGCTACTACGAGGTACTTTTCTCTTCGGTGTGTCAGAAGCAAAACTTTATCAATCACACTATTGAGAAGAAAGTTGCATTTTATTCTACACGGGTGGTGCAAAACGCAAAAGCAGAGCAGATCACAAATGTTTAATAATATTTCTGGCTTGGCACTAATTTGATTTCCAGTTTCTTCATCTGATCTCCCAGATTTACTGCCAGCTTGAGCAGCGCTATTAGGTGGGCATGAGGATGTTATGACATCAATCAAATGATCCAAGTGCTTCTCATAGAAGATGTCGATGATAGACTCTCTCTGTGATCCTGATGTATACGAATCCAAAAGATTATGAAGAATTTGAAGAAATTGACAATGCATGTCAGCTCCAAAATCTGTGAGCATACCCTTCACTAAAAGCCCAAAAAGAGGGATCCCTTCTTGCCGAGTTACATAAAAACGCAAAAGGTTTGGATCCTGATTTAAGAAAAGAATGAGGATGTCAGTCCCAGTTAATATGAGCTTTTTATCTTGACTCTGCAGGATATCAGTTATGATCTCAAGTATGTTTTCTTTAATCAGATCCCGATATAGCCGAAGTTGCTGCACTATCTGTAAGCTCTTACTTAGGGAACAAATCTCATGCAAGAAGAGTACCAAATTTTTTTTTGATTCTGCAGAAGTTGAACATGACTTCAATCTTGCAAATAATTCTTGAATGAAGGTGTTGCCATCCTTTAACAATGAGACAACAGTTGCATTGTTTGAATGAATTATGGAATTAAGGCTTGCAACCGTAGCCTCGTCCAATACTATAGGCTGAATGACATCCTTGAGATAACCAACTCTGTACGTCTGATGAATTTTTGAAAGAGCCACGGGATCCTTAATAGGTATGGCCTCCTTAAAGACCACATTCTCTTTAAGGAAATTTCGATGATGAACATGAGGTACATCAAGATCATATTCGAGGCATCCAATTATATCCATAATGTATTCATCACCAAAATTATATCATAGATCTGCGTGCTATTCAGCAAAATAATTCCTCGGACTAGTTTGAAAACCATGTGAAGGCCATCAATGTTTTCCAAATCTTCACAAATCCTGAAGAGATCCATGAGCTTCCTAATAAATTCTAGATCATGTAGTATGAGATCTGTAACACGCAACTGATCAGCAATCCCACTTCCAACTATAATCTTTAGTATTAAAGGTAGTGTAGACAGCTCAACTGGAGGCAACTCCCGCAATTCACTATTGACGTTATGGTATGTCTCGTTGCTCAAGGTATTAAAGTGCATGTTCCTTTGCACATTACATATGTTGTCCCAAATGTAAGAGCAACCAGTTGTTTCTTGAAAGCTAAAGGCCAATTCTGTTGCATACTCAGGATCCCTCCAAGAAATGATTGTATCTTCTTGTTTGCGGTAGATGTCATCTGAGCTTATCCGGTGCAAAAGTAATATTTCATTATCTTCTTCATCAATAACAAATAAACCTAACTCTTCCGATCTCTCTAAATAATCAACAATAACATGCCCAGTTCCTTGGTCATCCCATTTACCATCATCATTCAGCCGACAAACCTTAAAACGCTGCATCGAATTGTTGGTGCTGGGGGATTTCTCCAGGGCACCCATAGACATGTTATGGTGTGATCAGATTACCCAGGATTTAAGAAAAAGAAATTGATGTAATAGTAAATGCAAACTCCAAGATCAGGAAATGGGGTTTTATTATATTAATAATTCTGCAAAAAACTATTACAGAAACAGAGGAGATGGAATAAGAAGAGAAGGGGAGAAGAATGAAGGAAACTTGGTGAGGGGAAAATGGAAACGCTCGGCTGAGTATTAACCAGTGCAAATTGCCAAAAAACCAAAAAGTCCAATGACAGCAGCAATTTATCCTACTTATACTGCGTCTATTCCAACCAACTTCCAAGGCTCCCAATACAATCTAAACACGTAGCCTTCTTTTACTCAGCTCACTCCATGACAAAGTCTCCCCCTTAAACAATCCTTGTCCTCAAGGATGTCAAACAAAGTTCCAGGCTTCCAAACAAAGTTTTCAGATTGATATTTGGCAATTCGCAGCAAGCAAGTAGTATAAGAAAATGACAAAGCTTGCTGATTCTTCTGAGATTGATCTTCCATAAGCATGTGCAAAAGAAATTTAGCCGCCAACTTTTGCATAACTGAAACAAAAGAATCAAGTAAAGGAATTGGGAGTTCACAAGTTTGATGGTCAACCAGGCCTTGTGGCTCCAAAATGTTTACAACCTTTAAAGTTCTAAATTGCCCATCACTCCCAAAGTCAGGTCCTGGAATTAGTTTTAGCTGAGCAACAAGAGCTGAAATTCTAGAAGTAGCACCACCAACCATATATAACCTTTTAAGAGCAACTTGATCTGGATAATGCAAATCAAGGAATTTCTCTACTGCTTTAAAAGGTCTTGCAGGTTAGCATCAACACAACCAAGCAAGGTTAGAAGTCCTGCTGTTACTCCTGGATTTGAAACAGATAGGAGAATTCCTATGTAGCCATTACAGGCCAAGCCAGCTAGAAATTGCAGACCAAAGTACCTATTTGTTGGCTCTTTTAATTCCAAGAAATTAGCAAGTACTGATATAGCTTTCACTGGTGCATGTACCTGTATGATATCCCTATCTTGAAACACTATTGCTGGTAATATGCCGTAAACCAATGTGCTATTATTCTTACTAAAGTCAATTTGACTACACCATAACAAAGATTGGGAAGATTTCTCATTAAGAAGTTCACTTTCCCCAACCTCCATAATCACAATTTTAGTTTTGTGACCACATATAGCAAGAGTAGAAAGTTGCCAAATGGAAATGCGGACACCATAGATAACTGTTGTACACTTCTCTACTTCTCCTTTCTGTGGACATCTTCTTTCAAGCAATTTGAAGCTGCACTCCTGTACATATTTCAATTGTCCATTGCTGAAGTTTTCAAGCAAGATAACCTCACCGGGGTTGAACACGTAAATGAATGCATTTGCATCTTTTTGCACCCCAAGTGCATTGTTTTTCACTATCCAAAATGAAGACACAGAGCAGTACTCATCCACAGCAACATTAGGATTGCAGTCCTTACTTAATTTAGGCAACCCTTTGATCAAGCAAACAAGGTGTTCAACTATTGCTATGTAAAATATACCTTGCATCGATACCGCACCAATTTTAGAGTCATTACAGTCTTTGTTCATTGCTATTTTAGTATTGCCCCCAGGATCAAATATCAAGTCATCAAGTGGTCTATTTTGTTATGAAGGAACAATATTGACGGCACCATCATGCTTTTGTTCATCATTATCCATTTTCACAAGTTTAGATGATAACATAGATTTTAGATATGAAGAACAGTTTCCAAACTGATAACCACTACAGGATAACTGATTCCAATTGATTTTCACCTCAGTGAACTTTTGCTTTACCTCATAGCTGACCCAAGACCGATTTCTGGGACAATGGAGAGGTGAAGCAGAGTTAAATATTTCCTTGTCTATAGAGCCTTGTTGCCAAGCTAGCTCCCCTATAAACAATTCATAGCTAAGCCCTTGAGAGATAACACAATCGTTGTGAGCCAATCTATCAAACACTTGGTTTATAGCATTTTCTTCTTGATAGTCCCTTGCTGATGTTTTATGTTGTTTCTCCTCTAAAAAATCCATTGGAGTCCTTTCACACAATTCATCAAACATGTGGCTGACTACACTTTCATCCTTCAAGTTAGTGATTATATCATTATGTTCAACCTCTATAACCTCATTTTCTTTCATAAGCTGCTCTCCTTTTGGTAAATCAAGAGTAGAATCATACTTCTCCATTACGGCTCCCTCGATTTTTGCTCAGAGATATGCTTCATTCAAAATCTTGGGTGGATTCCTAAATCCCTTTAGCTTCATCTGGATATTCCAATCAAGCCCAAAGCTAAAACCATCAATAAAGTATTCCTCACTGAGTTCTGGTTTCAAAGCCAACATCTTGTTTCTCCACTCTTCAAATTCCTCATAGTATTGTACTACGTTAGTTATTTTTTTAGGCATCTTATGCTCCACCAGGAAGTAATTCGGCATTTTAGAGATTTGTTCAAGGGTCTCCATATATATATATATGTTTTGGTTGGTCAGAAAAGAGATGAAGATGGATAGGGAAGAAGGTGAATCAGAAGTGAAGGAAAAATTAGGAGGAAAGATTTCTAATCAAGCAGCCAAACCCAGACGGATCGTAGCTGCTCTGATACCACTGATACGGTGTGATCAGATTACCCAGGATTTAAGAAAAAGAAATTGATGTAATAGTAAATGCAAACTCCAAGATCAGGAAATGGGGTTTTATTATATTAATAATTCTGCAAAAAACTATTACAGAAACAGAGGAGATGGAATAAGAAGAGAAGGGGAGAAGAATGAAGGAAACTTGGGGAGGGGAAAATGGAAACGCTTGGCTGAGTATTAACCAGTGCAAATTGCCAAAAAACCAAAAAGTCCAATGACAGTAGCAATTTATCCTACTTATACTGCTTCTATTCTAACCAACTTCCAAGGTTCCCAATACAATCTAAACACGTGGCCTTCTTTTACTCAGCTCACTCCATGACAAGACAACAATTTCTTCGTTATTGGCGAAGTCAAAATTTACTAGAAGAATTGCTGCTTGGACTCAACTATAGCAACCGATGCATGTAGCTCGCAAAATTAGGGTTTTGATTAAAAAAAATAATGAACTAAATATGTCAAAAGATTAGTAGCTATTTTGAAAATTCAACCAAAATAAGATTAACGGTTGCTTTAAGCAAGATCAATTGGCGAAAACCCTCACTTCCATGAACAAATGAATCTTCGATACTTTTTCTTTGGGTTCTTTCTCCCTCTAAAACGTTTAAGCTCTGGCTTTGCTTTGTTTACTCTCTCTCTTCTTTTTATTCCTTTTCGTGGGAGAGTCCGACAAGATTAATCCTAAACTAATACCTAGCAATTCTGTTTGCGCAGAACAATAGTGTATGTAATGCAAGGACAAGTAGAATTGTCTATGACAAAACTGATTAAAAAGCCTTAGTAGATAGATTGGGAAAAAGTACTAAAATAAATTGCAAGCAACCCATATTTAAAAATATACTCTTTGTTAGACACAATGGAGACAGAGAACTTTGATGCAATAATTTTCAAGCATGTAAACAAAAGCTCTCACTAGGGGCACAAAAGTTAAGCCAGTTTAATAAAATAGATCTTAGTTAAAAGGTAATTTTTACTTGAGAGTTTCATACTTTAATTCACCCAATGTTCCACAATCTGTGTTACCAATACCATACACACTGCATGAACTTGTTACAGTGTTAATATGTTTTTTGTAAAGGAACTTCTCTCTCATTTTCTGTTCCAATAGTTATTAAACCGTTATATATTCCTCATGAACATCTCATTTTAATTTTTTTGTCCCTTTAAGTTCCAACAATTACTTATAGGGTAGAATACAAAAGATAACAGACTAAATAATAATATATAACAAAAAAATTATTAAAAACGCATTTTGAAGTTAATTTTTTTTGTCTACGATCTTTTATATTCTACTATATTAGTAGTTTTAAAACCTAAAGGGACAAGAAAAAGAAATAAAATAGGATGTTTATGAAGAATATATGATGATTTAGAACCCGATTGAGGTTGCAGTGCTTTTGGTAAAAGCACTTTTTAGTGCTAAAAATACTTTTGAGGTGTTTAGTGAATCTTGAAATTAAAAATGGAGTTTTTGGTGTTAAAATAGTTTTGGCAAAAGGTCAAACTCCCATTTGGGGTAGTGGTGCTTTTGTTAAAAAAGCACTTTTAGGTGCTAAAAATACTTTTGAAAGTGCTTTTCAGGTGTTTGGTAAATATCATCCCATAAAATTAGCAATAGAGCTTTTGGTGTTAAAAGCACTTCTAGAAAAAGCTCAATTTGGTGCTTTTAAAATAGCTTTATATTTTAATAAACAAAATATTAAATTTAATCATTTTATCTTATATTGTGAACTAAATAAAGAGATAAATGCATTTTAAAATTTTAAAATTATACATTATTCAATATAACAAGTATTTATAGAACTATGTAGCCAAACAATATACTTAAAAGCATTGAAACACTTAATAAGTGGTTTTATTAGAAGCTCTATTAGGTGAAGTATTTTTTAATAAATTACAACAACACTAAACAGGCTTTTAGAATAACTTTTGTGTTTCAAAAAAATAAAACATTAAATTTAATTATTTTATCCTATATTATGAATTAAATAAAGAGACAAATACATTTAAAAAATTTTAAATTACACATTATTCAATACTACTTTTGGAACTATGTATCTAAACAATATATTTAAAAGTACTTAAGCATTGAATAAGTGCTTTTATTAAAATCTCTATTAGATAAAATACTCTTCAATAAGTTATAGTAGGACTGTCAATGTGTCGTGTCGTGTCGGGTCGTATTTGTATCATGTCAAATTCATGTTCATATTAAACAAGTCTAAATCCACACATGACATATTTGACTTTCGCGTTGTATTCATCTCATAACCTGTTTACTAACATATCATGCCGTATTTTTACCCAATTGATCCATTTAACTTTTTACATGAAAATTAT